CACACATACACACATACAGAGAGAGAGAGAGAGAGAGAGAGAGAGAGAGAGAGAGAGAGAGAGAGAGAGAGCTACTCAATAAGGACAAAATGTATACTCCCAAGGTATGCCTCCAGGAATTCACCTCTTCTAGCCACACCATACCAGCTTACAATTACCTTCCAATTAGTCCCCATCAGTGGATTAACACACTGATTAGGTTAAGACTCTCATAACCCAATCATTTCCCCTCTAAGCTTTCTTGCATTGACTCATACATGAGCTTTTCAGGGACATCACATTCAAACCATAACATAGGGCTTTTGGAGATCCTTAATATGCTAAGGGGCAAAGAGAATCTCCAAGAGGAGAGTGCAGTAGGCAACACTCCCATTCATTGATTTCAGGACCTATTCTTAAGTGAGAGTCATACAAACATATTTCTCAATAGAAACTGCTTGGGTAATACTGACCTGGGTGATATAGAAATTGCATGCTGTGGGGTGGTCAGGACTTAAGGGGCTAAGTGTGTGACTAGTGCTATCAATAATGTAATTTATGAGACTGGACCATTTCTGAACACAGATTAATTTCAGTTTTTAACACCAAATCTCCACAGATTCTTAATTTAACATATCAGTTTATAGGTCTAGGAGCTGAAGCTCAGTGAGGCTAAGGAGGTTGTTCAAGGTTGTATACTAGTTGGTGGGGAGTGAATGCTATGATCTCAGTGTTCTGATCCTCAGAACCCTCATTGTGTGTGGTGGGCTGCAGGGAAACACAGTGAGTTCAGCTAGTGTGGAAGTTACTGATAGAGTGAACAGGAGTGATGGGCTGAATCAGTGTTTGGTTGGGAATGTCTCTATTCATTTAAGTACAGTATGTGGGTCTCATAATCCAGATTCCTCACCACCCTAGTCACTCAAATCTGGAAAAGTTTAGTTTGTCAGTTTCCTTTAGCTCACATATAGTTTTGATTTTCCAGTTGTGCTTTGACTAGTGCAGAGTGCTGTATCCCTAGATCAGTATTGATACACTATGCTTGGATAAATAAAGACTGAGAACAAGATAAAAATTTTTAGGATCTATGAATCACTTTTGGCTCCTATCACTTAAGGTGATGGTTAACCCAGATATGTTTTATATAATTTGCTATCTAGTCCAGTGTCTCCTATACTTCCTGGTTTAATTTTTCATCCTAAATGTACATCTTTACATTAACTCCACTTCATTTCTTCTTCACAGTTTTGGCTCAGTGCTCTTTACTGTCAGGATGAATTTTGAATCTTAACTCATCATTTATATATTCAGCTCTTTCTTCTAGAGCTGCAATAATTGCACATGTAGTATGCAATGCAAGGCTTTTATTTATTTACTTATTTTTGTTGTTGTTTGTTTGCTTCTCTATAAGGGGATAGAAAGGATGCTGAGGAACATTTATTCAGCACCTGTTATTTGATAGATATTATGCCATGTGCTTTATAAGAATTTTATTATTTAATCCTCATAATAATCCTCTTCTATGAAAGGATAATGAAAATTCTTATCTCACTGGGTTGTGGAGAAAAATAAACCATTTGAATTATGTTCCTATTACATTGTGAGCAGATAGTAAGGACTTGATGAATATTAGTTGTCATTATCTCTGTCCCTCTTCCTTCATCTTTTCTTTGGACAAGATAGGGACAAGATAGAATGACATTATATTAACATAGTAAAATTTTAATTAATACAGTATTCCGGATACAAGTAAAATACCACTAGATAAGAACTGTATTTACCTCAGAAATCTATGATAGTAAGGGTTGATATAAACCAAGGTTTCAAAGAGCCATTTGACTATTCACATTTTAATCAGTGCTGACCAGAAGCTAAAGCAATTTTAGGTAATATTTTAAATGAAATTACAGAACTAACCTTCCACGTAAATCAATCAAATTAACATGTTTAAAGGTTATCTGCCCTCATTTAATGGCAGTTGAAGAGAGTCAAAACAGAGAGCCCTTACAAAGACTAAGCATCAATGGTAAACTGTGGCTTTTGTTTTGGGCCACCTTAAATTTTTGCTTGTAGGTATTTTCCATTAAGATACACACACAAATTCTTTTAGGCAAAAGTTTTAACATGGAACTTTCAGAGTGGCGATCTTACCAACTGTACCTAAAATAGCTTTTAAGCAATTAATACTTCAGAATAATCCCAAACTGATACTTAGGTGATTACAACAGGTAAGATGCAGAACATTTTTAAGGTTTGCTGGTCCCTGAAAATTCGGTAGGTCAAATGCATTAACTGGAAGTAGCATTTGGGGGAGAAAAAAAAAAGCCCTAATCAAAGATGATAATGGATAAAGTAACTATATATATATATAGGCTCTCATACAAAATCTTTCTGAATTTTTACCCTGTAAAAATGATTACAATGTCCTTCAGGTTTGTTATATGCCCCATGTAATCAAAAAGAAACCAATTAAATGTTCAACATTTCAACAAGCTAGGAACTATTTACTGTAAGCATATAGTGAGATTCTGGAAGACATACTACCATACTTTGGAAAAATACTATTGACATGTAAGCATGTGTTGAAGACAGTTTATAAATGAAACATTACAAATCTTATGTTTATGCATACAACTTATAAAATAGAAAAAAGTTGCTATTTTCCCAATAGGATAGCATCACACTAACACTATATAGTTAAGATTGAAAGCTTCTGTACACATGTTCACTCTACCTCCAAAGCAGCATATGCCTCTTGGACATTCTCATTTGTTACCTAACATATGCCAATCATGGTTTCATGGATCTTTATCAGTTTGAGCAGGCTAAAACAATCATTCTTATTTAACCACAAGACAAAGTTAACCAGTTTCAGGGAATGAGCGGTTCATAATCAGTAAAGAAACACTAATATTACCCCTTCCCCCCACTTTAGGATGGAAAAGTCTTCTAAGGACACGATATAATCCTAACAGAATGGACTATGTCCCTAGATACAGAGAATGTGGGAACAGTCAGGAGCCTGAAAGAACACAATAAAATACACAGGACCTAAATTATCATCAAATAAGAAATAACTGCTAGAAACTCAAATGTCAATTACTGATTTTTCTAGTGTAACATCAATCAGTTTGCTGGGTTCTAATTTGGTTTTCCACTACATAGTTAATAGTAGTGCAAATAATACCCAAACAACAGGGAGTAGTCTAAATCACAAGGAGTTTCAAAAAATTGGAATGATTGTATATCTAAACTTATTTTTGTATTCTGAAAATGTTCTAGATAACTCAATTATTTTCCTAGCTTCTTAGATCTTCTACCATATTAAAAAATTCAAATTAAACATGGTTGCCTGCAAATTCTTTTCAAGAAGTAAAAGCAAAACACATTTTGGTTGTTTTGCTGCTGGTCTCCTCCTGCATGTGCTTTACCAATAAGAGCACTACTCTAAGCATTTATTGTGCTACTTTAACATAACCAAACATGAGAAAAATTAAAAGTTCAAATTTTGACAAGTGATTTTGGTAGCAGGCTTTTAAAAATGAAAAAAGAAAATTTAATATTAGATAGCCACTCTGACCATTTGAATTAGGAACTTAAATTTTTAAGACATTTAAGATGTTTAGTATTTTCTTACTCACTTTGGTTTTTTCTTTTTTTAAATGAAGATATATGGTAAAAATGACCTCAAAGATAACTCCCTCTAAAAGTCACATAGAGCATCATTTGTCACTGCTTTGTAATAGAAATAAATTTTATCAATATTTTTAACTTGAATGTTTTCAAACAACTAACAATTTTTAATAAAGCTCTGGTTCAAGTTTTCAGCTGTTAAATTTTTAAAAACTATAATTTGGATCTCTGATGGAGAGAACTTAGCTGGGCTACACTACTCTGACAACTGTATAGGACAGTGAAGTTCAGGAAGAGATCATTTTCTGAACATGGTTGACCTTTAACAGAACTGATTATTTCCTCACCCAAACAGCTATGCAGGATACTGCTAGATCTCCACTACAAAAATCTCACCAGATTTTCTAGACAATTGTTTACCATTCATGTTTAAAAACCTTATACCACCAGAGGCAAAGCAGATAAAAATGAAAGTAAACTTGTTTCTAGTCTAGTCTATTTACCTAAATAAACTCTTATAAAATTTTATGGAAAAATTAAAAGTGTAGAAAGCAATTTCTTTATTATTTATCTGTCAGCCAAAAAGTTACTACAAATTCTCCATAAAAAGAGGAAACTCAACCATGAAATATCTATCAGTTTAAATTAAAACATCAGTCCTGAAGTGACACCAAGACAAATTTAAGATGATGCTTAAAATGAAAGCTATGGTTCAAAAGTTTGTGTTTATAATAAGAGACTAAAATCTTGTCACTGCAAAATCCCCAATATTTTTTTGGCACTGACATTAAAAGAAAGATTTTAGTCTTTTGGTCACTAGAAGCTGCTAACTAAATACAAGCCCGAAAAAAGGGGGAGAAAAGAATTAGGAACTGAAGGGTACTTAGGTAACTATTTCATATACAAATAAAACTGTTCAAAATAAACAGTCATTTCTACTAGGGATCTGAAGATATAAGAACAGTTTCCTACCATCTCTTCCATTTTGAAGAGGATCCTCTAATCAGAAATAATTTCTTTAAGTTACTGTAAGTGGTGTTGCCTGGCAGCAGCTTCAATTTCCTAGGCTAGTCTTCAATCCAAATAATTAAGTAATCTCACAAGGAATAATCATACATGGCAACAGGGTTAAAAAAGCAGGGCAGTTCTTCCATGCACGAACATTTCAGGAGAAAAACCATCAATTTTAAAGATAACCATCAGACTTCAGGTATCCTAGCACACTCTTATACCTAAGTTTTGCTTTATACCATTGGTGACTAAAATTAATTAATAGTAAGTTTTGCAGTGAGGTTTTTTTTTCTTTTCTTTTTTTTTGCCTGCAACTATATACACATTGCAAAACTATTCTGCATCACATGATTTTAAATGAAATAAATATAAAAATGAACCACACAATCAACACATAACTTTAATACTCCACATTATTATCTTGATCACAATGGTGGTAACCTCCTTGTCAACAATCTTGTGAGTTGAGGAGCTGATTCTCATTCTCATATCCATCAGGCAGATATGCTCTCCTCAGCTGGTCTGACTTAGGTATGGAGCCTCCATTCTTCACATGGCGAGACAGGAAAGCACGGACTGCTGGGTGATCAGCCTTCTCAAGGGGGATGTTGGCTTCCAGGCACATTTTCACAAAGTCCTGGATAACACTGACTTTCTCTGTTTGCGCAGTACTGTTGCACTGAAGAGATGCAGTTAGGGGCCTCTGCTTCTTTCTCACATTCTGCTCTTCAAATTCTGCCTTCCTCTTGGTATGGGTCTTTGACTTGAGGTGGTCACTGATAGCAGACTTGCGAACATGATTCAGAACCACATTGCAAGAAGTGCAGAAGAGTTTTCCTCCATCTTCGTGAAGCTCACCTCCAAACTCAGTGACACGATCCAGGGGTGTCACATACAAAGCAGTCTTAGAACGGTTTCGGGCAGGTGGTGCTGTTACTACAAATCGTTCCATTTTAATCTTGAATTAGTTCGGATTAGTTTCCAGTTTTTTTTTTTTTTCTTGATACTTAGTAGTGAAGGGTCTCCAGCGCAAAACCAGAGACACATCAAATCCTGGCACTTTCCGTTTGTTCACACCCGGAGACGCCTTCAAATCAGTTTTTCAACAAGTGGTGGTGGGGAAATAGTTTCTGGGCTTGCACCCTATTTTCCCTGAGGTGCCGGGAAGTCATGCCTTTACGTAAGATCCGGGCCGCTGTTAGGGGAAGTGGACGAGATCCGGCCGGAAAGGAAAGAGGAAGAAAAGGAGGTGCAAGGGGGTGAGGGAGGAGGAAGAGGAGGAGGACCCGTCGCCGCCGACGCCGTTCGAATGACATTATATTAAAGAACTCATCTCTTGGTTGTCTGAAAAGGATCAGTCATCTCCCACCAGATTGTCAGCAGGTTTCAAACCATTTATTTATTTATTTATTTATTTATGTGTTTATTTATTATGTTTAAACCAGGGAATTCAGGGGCACTTTACTGCTGAGTCACATCCCCAGCCATTTTTTACATTTTATTTAGAGACAGGATCTCGCTAATTTGCTTAGGGCTATACTAAGTTGCTGAGGCTGGCTTTGTTTTCTTTAAAAAAAAAAAAAATATATATATATATATATATATATTAGTTATAGGTGGACACAATATCTTTATTTTTATGTGGTGCTGAGGATCAAACCCAGTGCCTCATGCATGCTAGGTGAGCACCCTGTCACTGAGCTACAACCCCAGCCCCTGAAGCTGGCTTTGAATTCATGATCCTCCTGCTTCAGCCTCCAGAGTTCTTGGGATTAAAGGTATGTGCCACCACATCTGGCTTATACCATTTATTACTGCATTACAAATCACACCAAAACCTAGTGGCTGAAAACAATACAAGTTTATTTTCTCACAGTTTCTGTGGGTCAGAAATTTACACATGGGTCTTCTGCTTTGGAAAATGTCTTACTCCATGTGGCTAATAACCAAAATATCACAGACTGGTAACTTATAAACAATGACATTTATTTGTTTCAGTTCTGGAGGCTGGAAAATCCAAAATCAAGGTGCTGGAAGATTTGGTATCTGGTGAGGGCTTCCTTTATATGTAGAGTGATGGCTGTTTTCTCACTGTGCCCTCTCAGGGATGCAGGATGAAGTAAGCTCTCTGGGGTCTCTTATAAGGACACTAGTCCCGTTTATAAGATTGGAGTCCTCCCAGAGGTCCCACATTTTAAGCACCTTCTTATTGGGGATTAGATTTCAACCTAATTTGGTGGGGAGGTGGGAGTAGACACAAACATTCAGTTTATGGCAGGATCTCTCACGGGGCTGCATTCATAATGTCAACCAAGGCTGCATTCTTACCTGAAAGCTCAATGGGAGGGGATCATTTGTCAGGTTCACTCTTGTGGTTATTGGATGGATCAGTTCCTGGAAGGTTGTTGGATTGAGAAGTTCAGTTCCTGGCAATGGTTAGCTAGAGGTCACCCTTGGTTCCCCACCATGTGTGCCTCTTCAGGTTGCCTCACCAGAACAAACGTGGGGCAGGAGAGTGAAACAAGACGGAAGCCACAGTCTTCTATAACCTAATTTTGCAAGTGATATCTCATTATTCTTGCTATATCTCATTTATTACAAGTGAATCATTAGATCTAGCTCACAGAGGAGGGAATTTCAGCAGGGAGTGAACACGAGGAGGAGGGGACCATTGAGAGCCACTTTAGCAGCTGCTTACATGCCACCATCATCTTCTTCAGCTGTTCACATAGTGTCTTAGTTATTGGCAGAGCTGCAATGTAAGTCTAGGGTCCCAAGCCCTTGCTCTTCTCTCAGAAGTGTACCCAGGGAAGAATCATGAGTGTTAGATGTAACCATAATTATAAGCTGATAATATAGCCATTTGATCCCCCTTTGGTTTGTTTTGGAACTAGTGAAGCCAAAATTAGACAGGCAGTCAGTATATACAGGTAAATTGAGTCAGGTTGGATCAAGGAGGCCAATTTGAGTGAGTCCAGAAATTTGGAGAGGGATTAAAATGCTAATGCTTTCAGAGACCTTCCTCCATTGTTATCAAGATAACACCTGCTCCAATCTGTTGCTAACCTAACCTATACAAGGGATTGTCTCTCCCTACAGGGAGTTGTTAATTTAGCCCCCTTTCTGCCCAGATCACTGCACTTTGGCCCCTCCAGTCCATCTGCTTCTCATCTTTTTGACCATCCCACTGAGCATCTCCTGGGCCTAGTCACAGAGATAAGGGAAAGAAAGCAGGAGAACAAAGGAAGCCTGAGACCTACAAAAAAGGCAGAATACCCTCACTTCTTGGGATACTAGTATACCAGTTATGGCCCTCTTCTTCCTCCTGGGAGAAGTCTATGCTACCGCTTTTAAATAAACCCTGCTTTATATACTTGCCTTGGCGTGCTTCATCTTCTCAAGTACTATTTCAATCTCCTCAAAGCTTTAAGTCTTCAACTTTTTCACTGTCATGAATAACTTTGTTTCAATTGCACAGAGAAAGTAGAAGATATCAGTTGTGAACATTTTCAACGTCCATTTCCCACTCCCATCTTTCTCTCCTACTTTTTGATTTGAGAAGATGAAAAATAACTTTTCGTATTCACTTATTCTCGAGTAAAATTTTCTCCTCTTCCTTTCATATCTTGACTACAAAATTATCACTAATGTTGAGGTCCTCAAGGACACCTTGGTAAATAGTTCTCTGTCTTTTCCACCTGGATGCTGAATAATTTGCAAAAAGTAAATCAAAGAATAAAGACAGAAGCCACAGTGTTATTGAGGATAGATCTGATTGGAGGATATGGCTTGGTGTTTGGGTCAAATGGGCCTGATATCTGAGTTACCAAACTGGGAGGTCTTGGGAAGTGCTGGATGGGAGCTTCCCCAAGAAAAAATGACAGCGTGGAGTGGCAGAGGATAAACCCTGCCTTCTGTTGGTAGGCTCAGTCTCATAAAGATGAAGGACAGAGCTGAATCAAGGTAGCTGTTTCCACCCTGAAACTTTCTAATAAGTCATTCATCCTCCATGGAGATGGAGTAATTAAAGGGGTTGAGAGAGGTCTGCTCACAGGAAGGAAGTGTTGGACTCAGAGAAGCCTGCTCCAACAACATTTTTTTTTTGGATATGTTTCTTAAACCTCTTTGTTTTCTTATCTCCTTTTTCTTAACCAATAAACATACTTCGATTTTTCTATCCAAATAAAAATGCTTCCCTGAGTCAGCCTGAAATTGCTTCCCTATCTTTTCTATGTCTCTCACAGCTGAGATCCTTGATTAGGAAATCTGAATTTGCTAGGATCTCCTTATTCATTTCTCACACATTCTTCAAGTCAATGAAGTTTGACTTCTGCTTCATTACTGCATAGGAATCGCTTTGCCAATGGCCACCAGTGACTTCCTGCTTGTCAAAACTGGTAGACTTATGTTAATTTTAATTTGACCTGACTTCTCTTTAGTATTTAACCTTGGCCCACTCCATTTCTCTGGAAAAGATCAATTATGTGTTAGCTTCTCATCATTATAATGAAATAGGTAACATGGGCTACTTATAAAGAAAAAGAGGGTTATTTAGCTGGCTGTTTTGGAGGTTCAGAGTTCAAGATTGGGTAGCTCCATCGAGTGAGGGTGACTCCTCTGGTGAGGGTGGTGTACAGCTGTGGTGGGAGCACAGGTAGGAGAGAGATCACATTTCTAACCAGGAGCAGAAAGGTACATCCAGCATTCCATGTTTCCTCCTGAGGACACACCACCAATGGCCTAAGCACCCCCTATAGGTCAAAGGATCGCACAACCTTCCTGTAGTACCACACTGTAGACTAAAGCTTCAATTACCATGAAACCTTGGGGAATGCTCACACCACATCTGTGCACTAGCAGCTTTTCCAGGCTTCATTGCTGATTCCTTTCCCTGTGTTCAGTATCAATACTTTCTAGGGCATCTCTCCCAGTTTTAACTAGTTTCAATGTATTTAAGTTCCTTGGGTGAATTGTTTTTCTTGGGGCTTTGATGGTCACTTACAACTAATTATTCTTCAATATTAATCCAGAATCCAGACCTCTGTCCTGCACTCTAGACACACATTGTACATCGCACAGTCTGGCCAATACTTACCTTCCCTCAATCCTATTTTTAACTACTTTCCTCCATACTTAGATCTGGCTATACTTTCCTTCTATTTATTCTTTGATTACACTGAGCTTATTCACACCTTTAGGCCTTTGTCCTCACTATTACTTCTGTGTGGAATGCTCTTTTCCTACAGCTATACTCAATTTCCTTCACTTATATCTCCGCTCATGTATCTCAGTCTTGAAGGGATTATTGCTCACTACTTCCACCCCAATGTATATTTTGTTATGGAATTTATCACTACTCAATCCTAAAAAATATAGTACTCTGACCCTAAAGAAATATAGTGTGTTGAGTTGTACACTGACCCTAAAGAATACAAGTAACTTAAGCATTTAAGAACTTTGAATTGTTTGCTGCTATGTCCCTAGTACCCCAAATAAAGATGTTAATAATATTTGTTGAATGAACAAATGAATGTTTGCTTGAAACTTGTCTTCATGATTCATTATCTTCCATAAAGTTGTTTAATATTAACATACCTATTTATTAATATAAACCTCAATTTTTAGCGGTTTTCTCCTGAATTAAAAAAATCTATCAATTGAAATTAGAATTTTCTTTTCTTATAAGACTTCTTGGCAAGTTAAATATAAACAATTTGGGTTGCCTTATTAGGAAAAAGAAAGCTCAATTATACCAAGAACTGTTCCATAGCTTTTAATAACATTATCATGATTGGGTCTTCCAAGATGGTCCAATAAGCCAATTCCATCTTTCTTTTTCTGCTTGACACCTTGCAGTTTGTGTTCTCATTATTACTTCCCTGCACTCCCGCAAAAGGGACTCTTGCCCTTGGTTCCATGCTTTAAGGGCCCCACTAGGGTCCTTTCCTTTAATCTTTCACTCCCCAAGGAGTGAAAAGTCCTGGGGTAAAAAGAGTATAACTACCTAGAACCCATATTTTTTACTTACAGAACATATTCTGAGTACATAATACTTAAGAATTTCCTGCCCTCATGGTTGCAAGTCAACTTCTAAATTTTGTGAACCTCTTTCCTGAAACTTTTCTCCCTAATGTGGAGAATGCAGATTGTGTGTTCAAACCTGGGCCAAGAGTTGGACAAAGTGCTGACCATTTCAAGGACCTTGGATGGAATTTTCTAGACACGTGTATGCTGGACTGCTTGTGGTATGGGGAGAAACTAGGAGTGGGATAGAGTAGGGGAAATGGGTCACTTTCAAGGTTTGGA